TTTCAAATTAATCTTGGTAGAACTCTGGTCCATGTTATATTGGGCAAAGCAACACTTGCACTATCTCTTTTGTGTTTGGGTGGATGGCCCTGGAGGGTGTGTCGGTATAGGCGCCCATCTTAATGTTCCTAAGCGATCTTTCTTATTGTTGGCATTTCCAAGTTACTCTGCTCAGTGGGCTGAACAGTGAAAAATTCAATCAATTGAATCTGTTATGTTTTTAGAAATTAAGAAAGACAGTGTTTGTTTAGTAAAATCACTATTTTGAATTTTTATTTCAGATTAATGTGAGAGTACAATTAGATTACAATATTTGCATTTATTGGGCAGTGTCCCTGTTGTAGTTGTGTCCTGCACCCAGAAAGTGAGCCTATACCCTTATATTGTGCCCATGAAGCAGGAGCACACCCCTCCTCTGCCTCCCTCCGCTCCCCTATGTTGAATTGAATTGAGTTTTTCTCTTGTGTGGGCATGTATTAGTTCATGTACTGGCTTCATGTCAGTATTGAGGACATTGTCCATTCTTTCTTTTGAAATTTTTAATTTAATTTTTAATTAAATCATAACTGTATACATTTGTGGGGTACAATATGATGATTTGACATACAGTGTGGAATGCTTAAATCAAACTGATTAACATACCCATCACCTCACTTACTTATTTTTTGTAGTAAGACATTTACAATTTATTCCTAGTTATTTTGAAATATACCCTTACATTGTGCACTTTAGGTGAAATCCTACCAAATGCCCCCATCCTCCCACCAATGACCCTCTGCTTTCCCCTCCCCCTTTGTGTTTTATCATTCCTATGAGAATGTGTTTATACCTTGGTTTCATAACAGTACTGAGTACATTAGATACTTGTCTCCATTCTTAAGGTACTTTACAAAGAAGAATCTGTTCCAACTCCATTCAGGTAAACGTGAAAGATGTAAAGTCTCCATCTTTTTCATGGTTGAATAGTATTCCATAGTGTACATATACCACAATTTGTTAATCCATTCATGGGTTGATGGGCATTTGGGCTGCTTCCATGGCTTGGAAATTATGAATTGGGCTTCAATAAACATTCTGGTGCAAAAGTCTTTGTTGTAAAATTATTTTTATTCTTCTGGATGGATATGCAGTAATGGAATTGTGGGAGCAAATGGAAGGTCAACTTTTAGTTCCTTCAGAATTCTCCATACTTCTTTCTATAAAAGAAAGAAAGGCTGTATTCGTTTGCAATCCCAACAGCAGTACATCCAAACCAGCATCTGCAGTTTGGGAACTTCATGATGTGAGCTAATCTTACTGGAGTTAGGTGATAGCTCTCTTTTGATTTGCATTTCTCTGATGATTAAAGAAGATGAGCATTTTTTCATGTATTTATTGGCCACTCTCTTGTCATATTCAGAGAATTTTCTGTTCAAATGTCTTGCCCACAAATAAATAGGGTTGTTTATTCTTTTCTTATGATTAATTTGAGTTTGCTGTAGATTCTAGTTATCAGACCTTTGCTTTTCCATTCTTGTGATACTTTACTAAGAAGAGTGTGTTTCAACTCCATCCAGGTTAATACAAAAGATGTAAATTCTCCATCTGGATGAATAGTATTCCATGGTATATATATCTCACACAGCTTATTAATCCATTCCTGGGTTGGTGGGCATTACAATTGTTTCCACATCTTGGCAATTGTTGAGCTGTGATAAACAATCTAATGCAAATGTCTTTATGATAAAATGATTTTTTTTAATCTCCTGAGTAGATGCCTAGTAATGGGATTGTGGGATCAAATGGAAGATCTATTTTGAGTTCTTTGAGGATTCTCTATACTTCTTTCCAAAGAAGCTGTTACTAGTTTGCAATCCCACCAATAGTGTAAAAGTATTCCCTTCTCTCCACATCTTCACTAGCATCTGGAGTTTTGGGATAAAAGGCCTTATTTTGGCATGATTTAACTGTAAGCCAAAGTCACATAACCTGACTCTTTTACTCAAAGATGACTAAAAAAAGACATATGGCCAGCTGTAAGTGTGCCATAGACTTTGCAGTCACCTCTACAGAATGTTTTGAAAGGCCCTTAAAATTCAGTATCTCCAGAATCAACCCAAAATGTCTACCATTGGCAACTATACTCTTGATTAGGCATTTATCTAGAAAGCTTCTACAAATGCAACTATAGTATGGACCGTGGGTGAACCGTGAATCACTGGCTGTTACCACCAGATTCATAAGAATTCATTTTTGGAGGAGATAGTGTCATGCAAAAGAGGCAAAGGGGACAGTGAAAATACTATCAGGCAACACAGAGGAGAAGGGTGATAGCAGAGTTTTCTCTTGAGGCAGGGAGCCTCACCAAAGGAAGATTAAAGTATGTGGGGTGGGGGTAGGGTATGTCCAGCAACCCAGAGGGCCCTGTGAAGCTTTTGTATACCTAGCTAGAGTAGAAGATCATTGAAGAGAATCAGACAAGCATCAAAGTCAAAGGTCCCTTGCTTGGTAATTTTGCCTAAGACCAACCATAAAATCATGCCCCTGAGCTTTTTTTCATCCTGGTCCTTGAAGCTGTTGCATTTCCATAACTGTAATGAAAGTGGAGCTTTCTATAATTCAGAGGAAAAATAATTGATTATAACTTTATAAATCGAATCTAAAGGTGCAGTCATAAAATCATAAATGTTATTTTCAGTTCAAGGCATATCGTCACAACTGCCAATCTTCTACTCAATTCATCCATGTTGAAATTGGGTTGTGATGAGCAAAATAGGTGTCATTTTAAAATAGTACTACAATTATACTCACAGCCGTAGGCAGATAGGAACTTTTAGCAGCACGAGTCTGCTCCATGGACTTCTGTCTTGTGATGCTGGGAACGCCCGCATCCCCAGCCAGCACCATAGTGGCTTCCAAAGACGCTGGCCATTTCCAGCCCAGTGAGGGTTAATAGGTCTGTCTGGCCTCTTCCATTAGTGGGTGTCACTGGGATGAAGTCAACAAAGCCCTATTCTGAGGACTCTCAGGGACCAGCTTGGGAGCATTTTGTGATAATGGTGCCCATTGTAACTGGGTTTGACCTGTGGTTAACTCATATCAGCAACTAAAAATGCATGCATTTAACTCCACTGAATATAGTTCTACCCCAAACTAAGCTTCTCAGTCAGCCTGCCGTACCACAGAAAATGCGGCAGAATTGTAGAGTGAGTTGCATTCAGTCAGACCCGAAACATTTTTGTGTGTATTTTTAGGCCAGAAATGTGCAGTGGAGGTGTGTGGGGTGTCTGCCTTCCCTCCTCTCCCAGACTGTCTTTATTCAATATGCTGAAATAAGCTGTACGTGGAGATTATAAATGTGCCTCAGTTATTCCTAGAAACAGGTTGATGAAGTTGATTTTTCAACAGTAAAATTCCCCTTGCTTGCGGAGTGTGCGTGTGTGGTTTTAAATCACACTTCAACACATACAGGAATATCGTGTTGGAAATTGTGCTAATCGAAGCAGAGAGTTTAATGGGCCTCGTGAAGGGTGAGGACGTGCAGTGCCTCAGCTGATTGCTTCTCGATTAGGGCGCAGGACGCCAGCCCATTCTTTCTTTGGGGTCTGACTTGAATCTGCACAGAGCACTACATAAATGATTTTCCATGGCTTTTTAAAAGGCGGTGCATATTAATATTTTAAACTGAAGTAATTGCTTCTTGCTCAGCAATGGGTTTCAGTTATGAGTGTTTATCCTCAGCAAATGGAAAGTATGGTTAATCTAAGTTAAAAATGGGTTCTTTAAATAGCTCTAATTACATTCTGTTTATATTTGTATGTATTAGACACTTAAGATTTAATCGGTAGCAGTTCTAACAAACCATAATGTTTATTAGCTGGTTTTAAATTATTGTTACGGATGGCAGTTGAAAGACGAAATAAATGATTTGTCTACTATAAAACATAGTAAAGAAATGGTGGACCAAGGCTTACAAAAAGATTTTTAGCATAACTTCAAATTTTTAAATAATTTATGAGAAAGACATCGTATCGTAAATTCTTCTCCTTTTTTCTTTATCTTGTCTTTACTCTAAAGATGGGGGGAAAGGGTCCCTAATGGTATAAGGTTAGTGGGATTTTTGTTTTCAAAGACCCTGACAAGTGTCAGAAAAGAAAGGACTGAATTTTACATTTCAATTCACATTTATTTTACCTTAAAGAAAAATTAAGATCAGAAATAATAGGTTGATTTAAAGGATGGAAAAAACCCATTTGTTTCAAGTTGATATAAGGCTAGCTTATATCACCTTAATTTAGTTAAATTTCATATTTTGATTAAACTGAAAAGACTTTGTTGGATTCTGTCTCTTCCCCGAGACATTTGTAAAAAGACTTCCTTTTGGGGGAGGAAACTTCTGAAGAACTGCACACTGCTTACACACATTGAAAAAAGAAATTCGTTTTATTGCCATTTAATTTTCTATTTGTTTTATTGATATTTTCAAGATACACAAAATGAAGTATAAATCAAAAGACAGTTTATTAATAATAACACCTTTATCTCTATGGAACCACTAACATTTGTGGGTTTTTTTTTTTTTTTAATGTAGTGGTATTCCCAGAAAAGAAATCTGTAGAATTATTAGTGTCATTTTACAAATAAGACAGCAGTGACAAATATTATAACTTCTCTACATGATAAAAAATAGAACACTATTTTATGCCGCTCTTCTCACTAACAGGTGTTTAATTACAAAGCTCTGTGACCTTGGGCAAGTCACTAAAGGTTTGTGTACTTCCAACTCTTTTTTTTTTTTAAGTAAAGAAAAGGGTAGACTTTAATCTTTATTTACAGGACGCTGCAAGATATGAAATTCCACATAGAAATAAGAACCCTTTCAGAGGACAGGCTCCACACAGTATGTATGTACAGTTTGGAACTGTTCAAGTACAGTTTTGTTGTAAAAAGTGCTACAATAACAAACTACATTTAAAAGGAGTTTGTAGTAGAGAAGTAGTAAGACAAACTTATACCAAACGCAGTACACGACAACTTTGTGCCTCAGCTATACAATCTAAAACTTAAAAGGCCCAGGAGTCCCACCCTGAACTTGGAAGGTACAGCCTTCAGAGGTAGTTTCTGGGACTACATTTTGATCCTCCTCTTCCTCTACAGAGAAATGCTTCTCAATCAAGTTTAATGAAGCCTTGTACGCAGACTCATTTTCATGGTTTTGTAGAGCTTCAATTTTGTCCAAACCTCCACATTCTTCGATCATTATACTAAGTTTCTCAGTTTCACCTAGTTTCTCAGCAGCCTGAGAGATATTTGAAATGGCATCCAGAATAACCAGAATAATTTTGGTATCTTTTGCAGTTAAGAGGTTCGTCAACGGTTCTATTATGCCACAATGAACGAGGTATACAATCTGTTCTACTGTTCCACCACTTGTATCATTGGTCACAGCCCATACGGCGTCCTTTTGTGTCTTAAAGTCTGCCTCAGAGAGAACACCAACAAGTAATGGGACTAGTCCATGATTTACAACTTGCTGTATCTGGTCCTGACGGGCAGCTGTGAAGTTTGACATTGTCCATGTAGCTTCCTTTTGAATGTTAGTTTGGGGGTTGGTCAGCAGGCTGGGAAAGACAGTAAGTGCTCCTGCATCAATTACAACCTAAGCATATTCGTCTGTCCCAGTGACAATATTCCCTATGGCTCTTCATGCAGGAGTCACAATTGGCAATTTGGTAGCTCCCCAAAGCTTCACAAGTTGGGGCACAACTCCTGTTTTCACAACCATTTCAATCCGTTCATTTGGGCCATCAGTAAGGTAGGAAATAGCCCAGCAGGTATCTGCTAATACCTCTGGATCATCATGATGCAGGAGACGCACTGAAGTAGGAAGAATCTGTTCCACAGCATCTAATGGGGGTGCGGGATTCTTGTTGTGACAAAGGTTTGAAAGTGTCCAGGGAAGATTAATAAGTAACCACGTGATAAAGATGACATATCAGGAATAGCTAGAAGAGCCAACAGTGGGTCAACTGCACCCTACTTAATAACCAAGTCTCGGAAAACTGAACCATCACCTGCAATGCTTCCTAGAGCCCACACAACTTGCTCACTGATATGAGCATGGGGAGATGCCAACAGAGAAATGAATGCTGGGATAGCACCTCCATCTACCACAGCCTTAGTCTGTTCTGATGTCCCGGAAGCAGATTAGATAGTGCCCAGTGCACTGTACCTCCCAGTGTTCTGCAAAACCCTCACCTCCCCACCTGTCCCCGGCCCTTGTTGGGCCCTCCCTGCTCTTCACTGGGCCTCTTCATCTTCTTGCAATGCTGTCTGCCTACATCCCATCATACGGACACCTCCACCTCCCTCAGGCTTTTTCTCTTCTTTTTTTTTGAGACAGAGTCTCACTTTGTCACCCTTGGTAGAGTGCCCTGGCATCATAGCTCACAGCAACCTCAAACTCCTGGGCTCAAGTGAACCTCCTGCCTTAGCCTTCCAAGTAGCTGGGACTACAGACACCTTACACCTGGCTCATTTTTCTGCTTTTAGTATAGAGGGGGGTCTCACTCTTGCTAAGGGTGGTCTCTTACTCTTGCATCTGCCTCCACCTTCCAGAGTGTTGAGATTACAGGCATGAGCCACCTCGCCCGGCCCTCCCTCATGCTTCGAAGCCTGAGACAGACCCTGTTTCCATTTCAGCTCCTTTGCAAATCTGCCCCATCCTGGTTCCAAATGTATTTGTTCTACACCATTCCTATGTCACATGTCCTATTTACATCTTAGCATAAATATTTATAACCATATTTCTTCTCTCTTAGAGTATCTTACCTGTGTTCATATCCTCAGAGTATAGCTCTGGTCTGGTACGTGATAGGTATTCAGTTAATACCTATAAATGGATAGTCATTACATGAGTAAATACATGGTGCTCAGTGCTGGGTGCTTTATCCTGCATAATGAAGAATCAATGTGACAGTGGCCATCAATAGGTAATAATTGAAACAATTAGTTAACTGATTACTTTGTAAAAATTGTGAATCTATTTTTTCTGCCCATTCCTACACCCTTTATCAAAAAATCGAATCTTTCTATTAGTCATTTCCTGATTTCTGACTTTATTGGTACATGAAGTTCAGGCCCATGATCTGGGGTGAACGACATGGTCTTTGTCACCATGAGGCCACCGTGAGGGAGGCAGGACTAGGCTGTGCAAAGCCTTGATGTTGGAGAAAACCTGAGTTGTTCAAAGAACAGAAAGGCCGATGCGGCTGACAAGCTGTCGGTAGGGAGGCGGCCTGAGATGAAGTTAGCAAGTGGACTTCCCAGACATGGGTGGCCTTGTAGGGTAAGAGAAAGTGTTTGCTTTTTATGCCACAAAGTACACTGGCAAACTACTCATAGGCTCTAAGCCAGGGAGTGACATGACCCAACTTGTACAGTTTGACTTTGCTTTCTATGAGAAGACGGTTCC